ATTGTAATCAATTCTTATAATCCAAAGCAAAGATCCAATGTTTTGCCCCATTAAAGAGAAAAGAACTCAGAAAAGTCTATTACTTATTAGAAATGACTGAGAAAAGATGAAGATTGATAAAAAAGAGCAGAATTGGTATTAGTATATTTTTTAATCCCACATTTGCAGTGCTCACCTTCAAGGTGAAAATGACTCATAGTAGGAAGTCCCAATCATAATAATATTCATTATTTTATCAAAATTATTTCTTGAAAGAAAGGATTCTGGACCTAAAATATGTATTCTCTCTTTCTTGAAAATATCTATAGATTTATAGTCTTTATTCTTTCAAGAAACTTGAAAGAATTCTTGATGTTCAATTTCAGGATCTTAAGTATAAAATAAGAGATTAAAAATTTTTGATTTTTAAAAAATGAGAAAATTGCTTCTTAGCATTATACAATTTCTTCTTTAAATATGTGAGACCTTGGCGTGGGAAAAGTCAGCAGTAACATCATCTATGGCTTTCTTCTCATCTGTCAGTGACCTGGCTAGAGAGGCACAGGTTGATGATGTGTGAAGTCCCAACTATCAGTCAGATTAAACTAACAGACAAAAAAGGGCAAACACAGTGCACAGGTGTAGACCAAAAATAATTTTATCAGCTACGAGACAATATCTATATCCAGTGAAGGATTTGCTTGGCTTGGATTTTGATACCCTTTTAAGTAATCTAGGAACCATGATTACAGCAGGCTTTGGTGTAAGAAAAAATTCTAGCATAGGCCGTGAAGTTCTGGAGATTTTGAATGAATACAGAATTACATGATCTTGGATTATCCCCAGTCGAATGGCCAAGGGAGCACATTATTCATCAAGGGTCTCTAGAACCTGGCATCTGTTTTCCAGTAGCTGCTCACGTGGAGCATACTCACTGGAAGATTAGAAATTTGAGGCATCATTTTGTGGAGAACTCTAAGTAAAAGACACCATTAAGAAACTAGTGGAATAAAAAAAATGTTCAAAAACATGTTCACATTTACATTGGTTTTAAAAATTATACACTTAATATACTCATCAGAAAATATAGTATATGAAAAAGACTTCAGAAAGATAATGGTCAATAATACAGTTTCAAGATGACAGGTAGAAACAGGAAAGTTACGCAAGTATGTAAAGGCTTCTGATGGTTTGCCAAACGCCTTATCATTATCAGCTCTTTGAACTTTGTTAATCATCGAAACACAAACTGTCAAGCATATAAATTAAAAGTAAGTATACTGTGTGTTACATCAATTTTATGGTAGAGTCTTGTGTGATATATAGCACTTAGGACAGTAGTTAGATAAACAGTCATTATATTTTACTTCTTTCTCTGCTCTGAATAAAACAGAGTAGAAAAAGCATAAAGAATATTTGGATTTTTATCATGTACATTTGGATTTGTAAAATTTTTACAACTGAGGAAAGTAATTTTAAATCTAAGACAAGATTTTTTTTTTCTTACAAAATGACCCGTGCATAGTTACGTTTTATTTGGCAGGCAGGGAGTGCCATTTGGACAGTGAAATTCAAGGGAAGAAACTTAATTTGTGGAATTTTAAGTACAGATGATAAAAGACCTCAGATGAATTCCAGAAATGATTTCACATCAGAGTTATGGATGTGTATGTTATTATTTATTTATTTATTTATTTATTTTGATACCAGGGATCAAACCCAGGTCATTGCGTTTGTGGGGCAGGCAGTGGAACCACTGAGCTAAATCCCCAGCCCATGTGTGTTATTTGTTCAGCATATTCTTTGCTGCTTTTTGTTTGTTTATAGAAAAACTGGGTAGTAAGAGTAGAGTTCTCATACGCTGCCTCCCAATCTCTTAAAATTTGTCTTCATGATACATTTGATTAGTAGGCAATTTTCATTTTGATTTGATTATATTTACAAATATTTTATTTCATAACTTGCTCATTTGATTTTATTTTAGAAAATATTTCTTATGCGAGGTCTTTAATGTCCAATGTTTTCTTATCTGTTTTCTCCACTGGTGATTTTACATTTGATTTCCTCTGGTCAAACTTAACTACACCTCTATTCAAATTCACCTGCTACCCTAACTGACTTTTTCCATCATTGAGTACCCAAACTCCACTCTCTTCAAAGCCATGTCTTCCATCAAATAGACCCTCTCACTTTTTATAATTTTTTATATAATTTATAATTTTTT